CGCTGTAGGGTGTCAACAACCCATGTCCGAGTTTCACGACAGCACGCCACCAGTCCCGAATCGCTCGGCGCAAGGGAAGCAAGCAAAGCCAACACACACAAAAATGAGAGTTTTAGTGCAAATATGAGTCTAAAAATATGATTACTTTTGTACTATAAATAAATCAACATATTCGACACAAAGACTACGAATATTGCACGAAAATCACACAAAACACAAGAGCATTGTAAAGGCATTCGAAGCATTTTTCGAAAAGAAATAAAAAGGTAAAGAATTTCTACCTTGTTCGCTCCATCATTCTTGCATATTTTCTTTGTCGCTTCCAATTTGAAATAACTGATGGACGATGAACACAAGGGGAAAAAATGAGATCTTTCCTTTTAGATCTACGTTATCCCGAGGCCTATTTCGAAGAACCACCTTTGTTTTTGGGTAAAAGAGAAAAAAAGCTTTTTAAAAAATAATTTTTTTCGTGTTTCGCCGCCGATCAACGGTGCCCGGCGAGGTGGCTATGGTGGCCGGATTCTGGAATTTGATCGTGTTCTTTATATATGAAGAACATGCGAGAGATAAGTATAAAGGGGGGAGGGGAGCTTTTGTTTCAAATGAATCAAATGAAATTTTAAAACAAAATGTTGGCTTAAATATGAAACCCGTGGAACCCCATTCGACCCGACTCGTACACACGTGACCCGCGTGTTTTCAAGCAACAATGGGTAAATCACCCATTTGGTCCCATGCGTTTTTAAACCTTTGATTTAACCCTTTTATTATTATTTTTTTATTATTAATTTTTTATTTTATTTCTATTATTTTTATTTACACGTTAATATATATATATATATATATATATATATATATATTACCAACTTTTGACATTATCATCCCCTAGGGTCCCCTCTCCTTTTTTTCTTCATGTTTGACCAAACTTTTCTTTGTTTTCGGTGAATTGATATTAGTGGGTAGATTGGTTGCTTTTTTTATATGTATATATTTACTATTCTTTCATTATTATTATTTTTAAACACTATATTATATGTATATATTATTTTTATTATTTTGCTTTTATTTTTTTATTTTGTTGTTTTATTTTTATTTCTTTTCTATTTTTTTTTATCTTTTTTATTTTTATTCTTATTCATTTTTTTTGCTTTATTTTTATTTATTTATTTTAACATTTTATTTGTTTTACTTATATTATTTATTTTATTATTCTTTTTATCTTTTTCTTGTTTTGTTTATTATTTTTTATATTTAGTATTTTATATTTTAATACAATTCGGATTTTCAAATCTAACATTTAAGTCTTTTTAAGGGTCTTCGTTCAGTCAATCAGATGTAAGTAATTCGGATCAATTTTTACTTTTTTTTTAATTTAACTTGCAACTTTCTTAACTAAAGACAACTGAAAATTACGTAGTACTGAAAGGGTAGTTCAAGGGTGCTAACCCTTCATTGACTGTAACCGGCTCCGAAATTCGACTTATCTTTGGTAAGATGTCGATCAAGTAAGAAATAAAGGTATCCAATCAACCCGTTTTATTCTTAAAATAAATGATCGATGACGACTCCAATTCGTTTAATCCAAGTCGAAGCCCAATTTCGGGTCCACCTAAAAGATGGTCGCCACAGTTATATAACATGATGTTGTTGTGATTGCATGCATCTATATTTTCTATTTCTTGTAATAAAAGCACAATTGAATTTCAAATTGGACGTCTTGTTTGTTTCCACGCGTAATTACCGATCGAGAACTTCAAGATAAGATCGAGAAAATTGCATCACCTAAAAAGTCACCACCCAAAATATATAGAGTAATACTCAGTTTATTTATGTTAGTGTTTTTAGTGGTATGTATAATCATCTCTTCTGATTTATCTTTTATACCCAAGTTGTGTTAAATTCAGTTGTGTTCATTTGAGTCTTGGCATGCTTGATATGATACGATTTGTAGATTATAACGTAAGATTCATGATGATGAATTAATGTAATATAACGTGTGATATTTTGCTTCCATGTTTAGTAATTGATAAGGTATGAAACTTAAAAAATTGAGTAAAAGTGATAGTTGAAGACTATATAAAATAATATCATATAATCGGATCCAATAAAAAAACTCATATTACACGTCAACATTAAAGTTGGATATTAAAAGTGAAGGAAAAGGTAGATTATCGTCATTTTTTTAATCCTCGGTTACAAAATAAATAGTTTAATTTGAAAGGAAAGAAAGAATATGAATAAATGCAGAATATATATTTTTTAAAACATAATTTTATTTACTCTCATTTTTTAGCTCTATCAATCAATAAATAGAATACAATTTTTATTTTCTAAAAAAATTTATGTTTAAAACTTTTTATCCTTATTATCAAATATACCAATAAAAATTTTTATATTTATATTTTTCCATCTTTTATTTTTTTCCCCATCATTTTAATTCACTTGCTCATCTCCATCAAACCAAAATGACAACACCATTTTCGTGTATTTTGAATAAGTGTGACATCCTTCAGCATCGACTCTGCAGCAAAGAAGGTGAAAATTGTTGGAGATGTGACACCATTACAAGTGTTGGCCAGTGTTTCCAAGGTTAAGACTGCACAATTTTGAACATCGACTGTTGTCTCAAGCAATCAAATGATGACAAATTAGCATTGTCAACTACTAGTTTGAACAATAAATATAAGCAAATTAGACTATTTTTTATTCTGAAAATGGTAATTTAGTTTGTACATGCAACTTGGTATTGTTACCTGAACTCGGATTTTCTTTTGAATATTTATTTAAAGTATTCATATTTTACAATTATATTAAAAGGATATAATGTCGCCCCTCAAGTTTTTCCCCGGCATCCATGCCTGGTTTCTTGTTTTTCATTTACCAGAGATTTGTGCAGGCTATCTTCGAGTTCTGTTATGTTCCACTTTGGGATAATTTTTCTTGCAGTTTTTATCCATGGGTGTTGGTGCATCAATTGCTGATATATTTCCAGTAGCTTTGAATTGACCCTGTCGAACATCAGCCTCATTTCGGTCCTTGACCAAGAGTTTAGATTATGATATTTTTTCTCAATTTCTTCAAATATTATCATATCACAGGACATTCTGGAGAATGCCATGTGGCTGAGAAGGTTTCAAGGTCAGCTCCATTGATTCCTTTTGGCCATTGCTATCCCTTTTGCCCTTGACGTACCGAACAGATACTTGATCACCATCATCACTGGAAAGCAGCATTGTTCCCTCTTCATATGCCTCAGTTTCTAGTTTTAATACTTGAAGTTACATTCAAAGGCCTAAAAATATAAACATAACTAAAAGATTAAACAGAACAGATAGAATCACAAGCAATGCGAAATAAAAAATGGAATGTTTCATGAAGCATTATTCGATGAACATTTTATAAGAGTCATACATTATAACATAGCTGTAAACAATAAAGATCTAGAAAATTTAAAACGACTGTATCTGTTCTAATCCAAATGGATGCTAAAAGATAAAAGTAATGAAGCTAAAACAACCAATAAATTATCATGGAGGTCAGCACTAATACTGTCGAAGCATTCAGAACCAGTTGATAAATCATCAGTGAAAGGAGCTCCTATAACTGAAATTGAACTTATGTTGATCTCCCTCCTTAGAGCCTACAATATATCCTAGTTTCGATACAGGGCAATGCTACGGGGCTTTCTGATGTGGATGCCTTTATTGGAAAGCAATATCAGAGGGGGAAGGCAATAAATATATAGAGGGCAGCAAATTAGAGTTTTATTTGTTTCCTCTATTACAATAGATTTTTATTTCCTTTATAACTTCAGTCTTGCTAGTCAAGATCCTATATGTTACGGATCCTTAATTTATGTCTATTATGACTATTTACTTTGTCACTAAAGGCATATTAAAGGCTGTCAATACTGAATAAAGAAGACAAGCAATTACTCTATTATAAACGTTATTTGTAGAGGGGTTCAATCAGGGACAAATCTACCTCTCTCTGACTAACCATAGGTCAAAGCAGAAAATCTTTCACGTCTAGACCTGTGACTAGATCCTACAGCAAGGTTCATAACAGTATGTTTGTAGCTAAGAACAAGCAAATGATGCTTAATTGAACAAGGGGGTGAATCAAATATTGAATGTTGGATCCACTAATATTAAGATGGACAGCATGGAAAAAACAAACCTCAAGCCAAACAATAAAAGCAGACTGTGGGGCAAAATGTATGTGTATACATATGTATGTATCTGTACATATATGTATGCTTGTAGTTGGGAACGAGAAAACAAAAGCTTAATTGAACAAGGCAGGTGAACTGAAGTATGAATACCGAATCCACTAACATAACATGCACTGACGTACAGCATGGAAATAGAAAAAGTTCCTTTTCCAAGTTGAGTTAATTTCATTGGATTTTTGCTGCACCTTTCCTTTCATAGCAAGATTTTCTTTACTGCTTGAAAACCCAAATGGAGAAGAGCCTCTTTAAACTAGTCCAAGTATCTTCATTTCTTTAAAACGGTTCTTCTGTCAGGTGTGCAGTAATATTTCTTCTTCAAGCCTGCTTGCAGGGATATCGAATTTGAAACAACCAAAGGTTCGAATAAATTGGTACATGGTCTCATATTCCGTTAAATCTCTTGAATCTAATTCACCCAATCGGTCATTCTCAATATATGTTCGTTTTCGAATGAAGATTCAGAGGAAAAGAAGCTGTTACCTGAATCAACAAGGGCAGAGCAGAAGTCCAGTGCCATTTTTTTCCTACCGACTAGATGTTAAACTCAATCAAAACTTTGGCAGCTTCACTGTCCAGTGAATGTTGGATGCAAACTCTCAAGGCTCTATAGATTTCATCTATTTGGCAGTGTTTGCAATCCTTATTCAGGAAAACATGAACTTTGTTTCTTATTTCGATCCAACTGCAGCCTGGAATTCTTTTCAGCTGTTTCTCTTTAATCTCTCTCCTCACTGTCAATACAATTTCCCATCTGCCAGCGGCAGCATATGCATTGGACAGCATTATATATGATGAAACATCCCCAGGGATCAATGCCTTGATTTTCCTTGCTGCAAATTCGCCGAGTTCCCTATTTGAGTGAATTTGGCAGCCTCCAAGCAGTGCTTTCCAAAAACCAATACCTGGTTCAAAAGGCAATTGGTGAATAAACTCTTCAGCTTCCTTGAACCGTCCAGACCGAGATAACATATCCACCATACAAGCATAATGCTCTGGTTTAAGCAAGTTGGATTCCTTAAGCCTTACCTTGTTGAAATATGAATAACCCTCAGTAACAAGACCAGCATGATTACAAGCCCATAATAAACCAAGAATTGTAACATCAGTAGGCCTAAAGCCACTTACTAGCATCCTTTCGAATAATTCAATGGCTTCCTTCCCCCTTCCGTTCTGTGCATAACCACATATCAAAGCATTCCAAGAAACAACATTTCTTCCATGAAGTTTATCGAAAACCAAGAGACTATCATCCAGACTTCCACATTTGGCATAGAAACTAATAAGAGCATTGCCTATAAACACATTAAGTTGATCTCCCAAAGACTTAAAAGCATAAGCATGAAAACTCTTTCCCTTCCCAAGAGCAGCTATATTAGCTGCTGCAATAATAACACAAGAGAAAGTGGGTTCAGTAGGCATCACCCCTTCTCTCAACATCTGTGAAGATACTAATTTTTTACCCACATTACTATTATTATTATTATTATTATTATTATTATTATTATTATTATTATTATCATTATTATTATTATTATTAAATATATATTAAATAAATATATATAAATAAATAATTACAGGCCAATTACAAATAGACCGGCCCAGTTACAAACAAACCAGAACCGGTCCAGAACAAACCAGAAACCCTAAACATTTGGGGGTTTCAGTTAGGGTTTCCTAACCCTAATCTAGCCGGCTGCCTCATCACAGCCGTTGGATCTAAGAGATCCAACGGTCCAGATTGCCCCAGATGGAAACCCTAGGGTCTGATACCCTAGGGACACGCGGCCGCCGCTGCTATCTCGCCGCCTCCGCCGCTGTCACGTCCCAACCGAAGGCTCCAGAAGCTCCAACGCCAGCCGTCCACGCCATGGCTACGGGGTGAGTCACCACTGGTAGTCCGGTGACTCACCGAGACCCCATCTTCGGACCGGTCCGATGGCCACACCGGTGTTGGCTATAAAAGCCACCACCCCAACCTGAAAAACCCAGAAACGGAGACAGAAAAAAAAACGGAGAGACAGAGAACACAGAGAGACGGAGAGAAAAAAAACAGAGAAAAAAAAAGATATACTAAAAAATATACCAACGATCTCAGTCAACATCAACGCAGCAAGAAAAAAAAGGAGAGAAGAGAGGAAAGAAGCTTACTCTATCATCGGAGAACCCCAACCGTCGCCGGATACAACGAAAACCGAAGGTATTTTTGTAGATCTGCTCCGATTGGGAGCTTTTTAAGGAAAAAGAACACCGGAAACGGTTTTAGATCGTCCCGATCTATATTTTGGTGGATTTTTGTAATTTCCGGCCACCATTAACGGTGGCCGGCAGCGGTGGTCGGAGCCCGGTAGCGGTGGCTGACCGGGACGGCTTCTCTCAGTTTAGAGAGAAGCCAGAGAACTCTTCTTTCTCTGTTTGAGAGAGAAAGAAAAAAAAAGAAATGAGATAGCTGGCCCGAAGGGCCAGCCGGTTTGGGCATTAAATAGCCCTTCCCAAACGACGCCGTTTCGGGAGGGCTATTTGTGTAATTTTATAAATGTTAAACCCTTTCCGTAATCCCTATGTTTTATATGTTTTACATTTTAGTCATTAAATTGAATTTATAATATTTTTAATTCAGTCTTCGAATTTTAATTTCTTTTATTTTAGTCCTTTATATTAAAATAATATATTTAGGATAAATAACAGATTTAATCCCTTAATTTTAATAGATAATATTTTAATCCCTAGTTTATATTTTTAATTTATTTTAATCTTATATTCGAATTTTAAATAAGTTTATTTTAATCACTAAATTATTAAATAAGAAAATAGCCTGATTAATCCCTGTAATTCTGATTAATTATGAATTAGGTTTGTAAATTTTAATTTCACTATATTTTAGTCATTTATTTTAAGTATTTTTTTATTGCTTTTAAATATATATTTAGAATTGTATTCTTTTACTTGTTTATATTTTTAAATGTTGTTATAAGTATATAATAAATAAATATTTATTTTAAATAAATCATTTTAATATTTAGTTTTCAATATCAAAGAACAGTACAGTCTTAATACAACTGGATGTCCTGTTCTGATATTTTAAAAATTAAACAATACATTTTAAATTAATATTTATCAATATCAAAGAAAAGAATTGTCTTAAGGCACCTAGAAGTTCTTTTCTGATATTTTTAAATAAATAAATATTTTTTATATAATTTTAAAATAATAGGATTATAAATATATTTTTGAATTTTTAAATTTTAATAATCGAGACAATTTATAATTAAAAAGTACCAATTTTGGGCGTTGTAGGGGTGCTAATCCTTCCCTAAACGTAACCGACCACGAATCCTTTTTATTAATAAAAAAAACGAATTTTTGGTTATAGAACGCAGATCAGTTCATTTTTTTAATTGATGTTTTCTTAAAACTCTTTTAAAGAAAATAATTTTTAGGTATTCGACCTACCTGATCCAAAAGGCCGATGGCGACTCACAAATTATTTTTCAAAATTATTTATTCACATCAATTTTCCAGCCAAATTTAATATTTCGTGCCCGGACGAAAACCGGTTACGACAGCTTGGCGACTCTGCTGGGGAACTGGTCAAACTTTTAAAAATCAATTATAAATTGTCTCTATTAATTAAAAATTAAAAATTCATATATTTAATTTTTAATTCTTTCTTTTCGAATTTTTTATTTATTTATTATTTTTTTATATGTTTTATTTTATTTGCAAGTATTTTATTTCATTATTTATTTTTCTGTCAAAGGTTTGAACATTTCTCCTCACACACAACACTTGCATTGCATAACATAAAGCTCTATAATTGAGTTGTCCCTTTTAAGTGGGAGTGAAAGCGACGTCTTCGTGAGAATTTATTCTCCGTGTCAGACCTAGCAAGTAACTTTCGGGGTTCATATGTTTTATGTCTTCGTGAGAATTTATTCTCCGTGTCAGGCATAGAGAAATATATCCCCTCGAATTGAACTCGATCCACTTTAGTCTGTAATGGACTAGGGTTGAGGGTTAGCAACCCAAGGGGGCACTAACAAGGACAATTCGGGTACCTTTATTCTTAGATCTGAAACCGTGCATATAAAAAACCCTAGAAACTCTTCCGATCTGAAGTCATGCCGAAATTTTGTCCAAAATAGGTGTACACACAGGAGAAATGAATTCTGACTTTCTTGTTAATTTATTAATTAAATTACATGTTTGTTTAAATTTTTTAAATTTAGAAAAGCATGTTTAAATAAAGAATATTTATGTAAATGTTATTATTAAATTTCTTTATTATGTAAACTAATTTATTTTCTTTTTTTGTGTTCTTTATTTTTCTGTTTGCATTGCATCATACAGGATAAAAGACATTGATCCTTGTGTTAATTGTCTCATTGGAAAGCCTTCATCTATGGATAAAAAGTGTTCAAATCAAGTAATTCTAAACTCAGAAGTAAGACAGTGGGCTGAGGACTTACAAAGACGAGAAGGAGACAGCCTGCAGGATGATTATGTATCTGACTTGGCCAGTTATGCTCCAGTTTCACTAAAAAGAAATGATATGCAAGATTTGCGAAGCATTTGGGAAAGTTGGGATTCAAACAAAAAATTGCAGTTTTATCAGACTTACGGAGACATCCCATATTTGCTCTATGTAGAAGTTGATGATGAATTACTCCGAGCCCTAATTCAATTCTGGAATCCAGGGTACAATTGCTTCACTCTCAATAAAGAAGACTTGGTCCCTACTATTGAAGAATACACAACTTTGCTACATATAGATGGGGTTTTGGAGAATCGAATCTATTCAAAGTCAATTAAAACTCAACCCTTTCGAGTTAAATTAGCAAAGATTGCTGGGGTACGAGAAGAATGGGTGGCATCCCGTACAAAACAAAAAGGCGAAAGCGAAGGCATTGCTTGGACCAACATTAGAGAACTTATTCAGAGCCATCCAGATATTAAAGTACGATTCGATTTATTTGCTCTGGGTATATATAGTATGGTCATCTTCCCAAAAGTATTGGGATATGTTGAAGCTGCAGTGGTAGATTTGTTTGAACAGCTACCGAAAAAGATTAATCCTGCTTCTGCAATCCTAGCAGAGACCTTCAGATCGTTAAATGCTTGTAGAAGGTTAGGAGGTGGACGATTCTCAGGCTGTACCCAGTTGTTATATGTTTGGATCCGTAGTTATTTCTGGAGGACAGAAAAGGTTTCATACCGACGCTTTAATACGGATTACTCACCATTAAAAGAATTTCTGGAACAGGAATGGCCGAAAGAAATTAAGAAAGATATGTGGATTAATGCCTTTCGAAATCTGCAAAGCAATGACATTGTTTGGCGAGCCCCATGGAAAATACAAAGGGAATTCATTTACAAATGTGGAAATTACAACTGGATAATGTTGCTCGGATTATGGGGAGGAATTGGATATGCACCACTTCTGGTCATAAAACAGTATGAAGGTCGTCAATTTGTACCTGTCACTGCTGGATTACAGTCATCTGAATTCACATTCCACAGCAAAAATTATAAAAGAAGTATTATGGAAGCCGTTACAGCTTGGAAAACAACTTTTTGTATCCGAGCTAAAGCAGCAAAAGAAATGTTAACTCCTGATTATGAAGAATGGAGATCTGTCAGAAAAAACGAAAATATTCCTTTACCAGATCAAAATGAGGATATCTCTATGGAAGATCGCATTAAGGTGGTTCCGTCAGAGATTGAAATCTTGAGAGCTGAGTTTGAAGCAGAAAGAGAAGGCTGGTCGAAAGAATTAGAGCAAATGAGACAAGATAAAACTATGTTGGGAGTTGACATTGAATTTCATTCATCACAATGTGCAATGTTGAGAAAAGATAAAGAAAAAGGTGAGGATGAGTACAGAGCCTTACAGAAAAATTACCAGGAGTTATATAAATCCCGGAAAGCATCAGGATCAAGCCAAGCAACAATACAGATGAATAAAGAGTTGAACATCGAGAAAAGACGAGTTGAAGATCTGAAAGGAAAGAATAGCCGTCTACTCAAAAGCCTTGAGAAAGGAAAACAAAAAATGGAAGATTTTGAGGTCGACAGAAGAGAGCGAATTATAAAACACAAGGCTGAGCATCGCGAGATCATGAATGAAATGCAAAGAGAAAGAGATCGAGTCAAAGATGTAGAAGAAATGAAGAATGACATCTTTAATAAATTTGAAGGTGAGAAAAATATCATGTTCAAGGGCTTTGAATCTGAAATGAACCAGTTGATTGCTGAACTTGAAGTCAGAGGCCAAAAGATGGAAGAATCCAATGTTGAAAAAGAAAAATGGGAGCTGGAAAGAAAAAATTTCAACACCAGACTTGAGGTAGAGCAGGAAGTGGCTAGAAATTGGATGCGAAGATGCAGAAACAAAGATGTTCAGATCCAGAAGCTTAATCAAAGAACGCAAGAAGCACGAA